GTGTGTGTGTGTGTGTGTGTGTGTGTGTGTGTGTGTGTGTGTGTGTGTGCGTGTGTGCGTGCGTGTGTGCGTGCGTGTGTGCGGGCGTGTGTGCGTGCGGGCGTGCGTGCGGGCGTGCGTGCGTGCGGGCGGGCGCTTTGGAAGTGTGTGACAGTCTTGTGCGCTGACGTTTTCAGAAAGCCGAGGCCCAGCTGGCATACGAGCTGCAGGCAGCCAAGGAACAGCAGAAGATCCGCCTGGAGGAGATCGAGATCCAAGTGGTGCAGAGGAAGAAGGAGATCACAATCGGGGAGAGGGAGATCGTTCGGACGGACATGGAGCTCATCGCCACGGTCAAGAGGCCCGCCGAGGCAGAGGCCTACAAAATGCAGCAGCTGGCTGAGGGGCACAAGTGAGTGAGAAAGCCATCGGTTAAGGGCCATTCAGACAGATTATTGAGCTTTTCCAACCAGTGCCCCCAATCACTAGGAAGTACAGAGAGACACTAGTGTTGGACACTGTCCTCAGTGGAGATCTGAAACATCTGGTAAAGAGGTCATGTCACGATGCAAAACACTCATGTAGCAATTTAACAGCTTTGTTGTTTGCGTTTCTCTCTGAATAACAACAAGCTTGTAACCTTTGTAGTCGGCACGCCGTGTGAATATGAGCAGTAAATCTATTTGTAGGTGGAGGAGGAGGATCTGGTTGTTGAAATTCCAGCTGACTGGGATTTTCAGTTGCAAAGCATCCTGGGAGATATTTACTAAGGAAACAAACCGGTCAGGGTTTTGCACAGGTAAAGGGAGAAAAGTTTGGGTTCGATCGAAATGTTTTTAAGCAACGTTCTCAGCGACTGCATCTCTCGTACCAGCGCAGCAGAGGACCTGTCTTATTTTCTTCTTTGTATATTTATTATTTATATTTGAATAATATAAAACAAAACTATTTCTTACCCGATTAATCAAAGGAATAATCTGTAGAATGCTCGATTGCGAAAATAGTCTATCTGCAGCCCGAGCTTCGGTCATGCGGCCTCCATTTTGCCCTTTGGGCTACATTTCAGTCAGGTGAATGTTTTTAACCTGACCGTCTTTATCCCACCCGGCGTCAGGATAAGGACGGTGCTGATCGCCCAGGCTCAGGCGGAGAAGATCAGGAGGATCGGAGAGGCGGAGGCGTCCTCCATCGAAGCGGTGGGCAAGGCGGAGGCTGAGAAGATGAGACTGAAGGCCGAGGCCTACCAGCTGTACGGAGAGGCAGCCAAGACGGCTCTGGTCCTCGAGGCCCTGCCCATGGTAACACATACACGGCTTCTTACAGGCTCCATAATGCACATCCAGCTCATCCAACCACGTGTAGTTTGCAGTGAACTCTTATTTTCAGTTCACTGGTTTGTTCGCGCATGATTTTTGTAGAAATCAGTACATGAATTAAAAAATACCCACTATTACTTTATTTGTAGTAAAAAAACTGTGCTACCATTGGCTGTAAAGGGATAGTTGGACATTTCAAGACATGCATTTATTCACTCACTTGCAGAGAGTTAGGTGAGAAGATTGATGCCTCTCATATGTGACCCTTAAATACGAAGCTACTGCCACGAGATCTTAGCTTAGCTTAAAAAAAGACTGGAAACAGCTAGCCTGCCTGTGGCTACATCTAATAAATCTGCCTAACAGCACCTTTAAATCTTTGGTTATTTCATGTTTTTTAATAACCTCAGAATCCCACCACACAAGCAGCTATAAAGCTGTAGCATGGTTGTTAGCTTTAAGAAGTAGCATGCTGTGTTTCTGATGGAAAATGACAGCTCACAGTCATGACGCTACGACTGCATCATGTGTCACATGATCTCAGTGTGTGAGGGTACTACCAGCTTACAGTAAACACTCAACTGTGTCTTTGCAGATTGCTTCCAAGGTGGCGGCGCCGTTAGCCAGGACCAGTGAGATCGTCATCCTGAGTGGGGACAGCAACCGCGTGACGGGCGAGCTCAACCGCCTGTTGGCTGAACTTCCTGCGTCTGTCAATGCTCTGACTGGAGTGGATCTGTCAAAGGTACGCCTGCTCCATCACATGGGTTTGTAACAACGTGAGTGTATTTGTTCTATTACTAAACTATCAAATATATAAGGAGTTAAGGGTATTGATCTGATGATGTGGTTTTGTTGGTGGAGGGTTAGGACGACGCTTTGTAGGACGACACTGGAAGACTTGAATTAGATGCTGTTTGTTTGTGTACATACTTTCATTTGTTGTGTGTGTGTGTGTGTGTGTATATATATATATATATATATATGTATGTATGTATGTATATGTGTATATATATATATATATACATATACATATATATATATATATATGTAT